TGTGATTTGTGCCATACTCTATCTGCAGCTCTGAGCTTAGAACGATGCTCACGAAGAACATCAGATAGCCAAGGGGCAGAAGAGGTGGTACGGGCTGGCCTGGAAGACAAGGGGCAGACACTGTCTAAACAAGACGTAGAAGTGGAGCAGAAAGTATCAGTAGCACTGTTAACATCAAGAGATGAAGATGAAACCATAGCAGATAGCCAGGAGGGTGAGAATGAACGTAGGTTATGTTGAAAAGTGACATGTGGAGGGGTATGTGTTGTGTCAGGAACCATGTTGAGGTTAAGAGTGAGGAGGAAGCGATCCGAGGTGTGCAGTGGAGAAACCAGTACATGATCAGTGGAGCAGTATATATATAAAATATATATACTATATATATAGTTCAGAAGATGAACGGAAGTCTTATGGGATTGAAACAACATGAAGACGAGTAAATGAATTGTCATTTTTGAACAAACTATCCCTTTAATGTTGTCTATCAGTTTCTCCAGCTATGTACTGTTATTAGTTTGAACCTCTTACTCTTTTAATAATCAATAGAAAAGCCATCAAAAAATGAACATCTATAAGGCCCAAGATTCCATAAGGGAATCAAGACCATAATACACCAAATAGAAAACTACGTATCCAGTTAAGTCCCCAAATGCACCACCTAAACATACATAATGAAATACAAGGACTTATGAGAATCCAACAATTGCAAAAACCCACATTGTAGCACATTTCTGCACAGGATTTTACAGCATATAATGTACATTATTTTATTATAAAAATTAATGGGCTGAATCACGGGCTGAGTTGTACTGAAGCGTAGGCTACACAAACAGTTTGTTTGTTTGTTTGTGTGCTTGTTAGTTAGTTAGGTAGTTTTAGTGAACCCCCAAGAACACTGTTCTTATATGTTATAATAATTATATAAGTTCATGTAGGGCTGTCAGTTTAACGCATTAACAATTAATTAGCTATGAAAAAATAATGCAATTAAAATATTTTAACGCAGTTAACGCACTGGCCCCGCCTCCAGACCTGTACATCATCTTACATTTCATACAGATGGCGATGCAGGGCAACAACTCCATAAATGCAGTTATGCCATAAAATGTAAGATATTGGGGCGAAAATGCTCCTGTATGAGTTTTTATCGATGTTATCACACGTTTGTCCCGAATAGCACGAGTGCAAATGTGATTTTATTCAACAGTTCAGTAAATAAGAAGTTGATATTGTGTTATATTTTAAACACAATATTGTCTGTTTTTGCTCAGTTTGGCCAACAAAAATATTACCTATAATAAAGCCACAGCAGAATTGTTGTGCATCTCCGAGGAACACAGCGGTGTTTAATTTCTGAATGAATCCGTGTTTTGAATGAATCGTGTGAATCAAATCAAACGTTTACTTCATTCCTGAATGAATCAGCCATTGAACTCATAAAGACATTTTTCGCCACCTGCTGGCAGATTTAGTTTCTTATTTTATTATTTAAAGTGGTCATATGATGCGATTTCAAGTTTTCCTTTCTCTTTGGAGTGTTACAAGCTGATTGTGCATAGATAAGATCCCTGAAGTTGCAAAGACTAAAGTCTCAAAACCAAAGATATATTCTTTATCAAAGTTAAGACTCTGCCACGCCCCCCTAAAACGCCTCGTTCTAACACGCCCCCACATATCTACGTCACTATGTGGAAATATTTGCGTAATGCCGCCCAAATGTGCACGCAAAGAAAGAAGGCGTGGTTTCAGTAACCGCAGTTAGTGTTGAAGCAGCCATGTCAGGGAGACGCTGTGTGTTTCTAGGCGAAAGCAAAAGCACTTTATTTGGCCTTCCGAAAGTAGATGCATTTAGGAATCTTTAAGATTACTTACAACAGAACAGCAATGCATTTTATGGATGACCGTTTCGTGAACCTAGGAGAGGAGGTCATTCTGACTTTGTTATGACAATCTGGTTCTTCTGAATCAGCTACTGTAAGTATGTTTTGTTATTAGTTTAAGAATGGGCGTTACATTTCCGACGCGTGCTTGTTGTGTTCGGCCAATCACAATGCACTGGTTCAGCTGGCCAATCAGAGCAGACTGCACTTGTCTGAAGGAGGGACTTTGTAGAAAACGAAGCGTTTGAGAGAGGCGGGGCATAGAGGACCTACAATAATGTACAGTATTTGAAAAATAATGTGTTTTTTGAACATTAAAGCATGTCAACATATTCTGTTACACCAAATACACAAAATAATGATCCTTAAAAAAGCATCATATGACCCCTTTAATTAAAAAAGGGGGAAAAAACTTTAAAGGGATAGTTCACCCAGAAAAAAAAATGTCATCATTTACTCAAACCTGAATGACTTACTTTCTTTTGTGCAACATAAAATAAGGTATTTTGACGAATGTTGGTAACAACAACAAAAAAAAAAAAAACCTGAGATGTTTCTCAAATTATCTTCTTTTATGTTCCATAGTTTATGTTAGGCAGTTGTAGCCTAAACGTTTATGTGTAATAAATTTCACGTTGAATCAAATAAAATATTTCTTTCTAAAGTTACTATTTGTAATGTCTACTTAATACTTTCTCATTTAACACAAAAAGTGCTTGCAAATAAGCTTTTAAATAATCTTTTGAGGGTAATTTCACAGCCAAATGCAATTTGCGATTAATTCGATTAATTAATCGACACATCATGTAGTTAGATACAGCCCTAGTACAAATATATAGTCAATACATCTTTAGCTTGTAAGCCATGGAACTATGGCTTTTCATGTTCATTTTCCCAATTTGCTTTGCATATAACAACTATTTACCACATTACTAATCACTTCACATCCATCCATATTGGTAATCACTTTTGAATTTGCTTTACTTTCAGTTAAGATGAATGAAAAACTGGTTGCACAGAAATAATTCAAGGAATGAGCTGTACTGCTTGTTTTGAAAAATCGAATTCAAAAATCAATTACAAAATTATAACAAATTAAATCAACTTCACAAGATATTAATTGATGGACTCGAGTCGATAGAGGATTGTGTAGATTACTTGTGGATTATTGTGATGGTTTTATCAGCTGTTTGAACTCTCATTCTGATAGCACCCATTCACTGCAGAGAATCCACTGGTGAGCAAGTAATATAATGCTAAATCTTGACGGGTTTTGACTTTTTAATGCCTTAATAGATTAAATGAGTGTAGGTAAAGAGAACACAATGTATGTGACCGCACCAAAATATGACCCAAAACCAAATCCTGTACCAACCAACCCGCACTCTCCAACATGCTATAAATGTTTGGGAGAAATATTCAAACAGGTCAAAACAGTGATCTGTCTCGCTCACAGCACAGTGACCCAGTTAAAGCAAATCTTCACTTCTCAACTGAACACACACACAGAGACTTTCCTATGAATGTTATTTTATTTTTATTCTGCACTAAATATATTTTTCATCATTTTAAATTTAATTGGCATGAATATAATAATTAAGCTTTCATTAAACTGTGGCTGCTCTCCATTGGAGACATTTAGTCCACATTCATTCACAATGTAGAAGAACAACAGGATCTCTGCAGTTGCTCTTCCAGCATTTTTAGGACCAGCAAGCCTCAGTCAGCATCTAAAATCAGACCGTGCTGCCGTGGACAGTTTTAATGCTCCTTTGCACCGGTTGATTTATGACGCCTAGTGTGCAATATATGATCTCAACAAATGATTAGTCCCTAGATTAGACGCTTTGGGATAGCGATGTTAGTTATTTCATGCAATTAAATGATGCATGTGCAGTTATGTCAGGAAACAGATGTGGTTTAAGTGTGTTAGGTGTGTTATAAAGACAATAGGGTGCTGCAATCTCGTGTAGAGCTGCAGTATCAATCAGCGCGCGCCTACACACTTCACTGCGTTACTGCTGGACACTCACGTGCGCTTCATCACATCACACACACACACACACTGTTCACAAAAGTCAAGGCAAAGTAGTGTGTAGGCTACTCATTTTGCATATTTGACACATGCAATGCAAAAGTACATACAAAAATGTCTCAATATATGAGTAGAGGCCTATGGTTGTATGAAAACATTGTTTTTATGTGTTTTTAGATGCAAGGAAATCACTTTCAGTGCATGTGCAATCAGCAAAGGTGCAAGGCTTTTCTTTTCAACAAAATCATTGTTTCAATCATTTATGTTAAAGCTGCGTGAGAAAACAGTATTTTAAGACGCCAGCTTTCTAGATGAGATGTCGCCTTACCGTCGTAAGCCTGCGCGCTGTGGAACAAAAGTAGGAATATTGCTAAAGATGAGAGTTTAGTGCTCCGCATCCCTCCAGACGCATGTGTGCATGAGCATCTTCTCCTCTCTCTCAGGATGCTCAATCTGTGCACATCTATCCAGGTTCCCTCTACACGACCAGCCATTTGTGTTTGCAGAGGAGGTGGCCCGGTGTCGGTACTGGACCAGACATCTGCTCAGATCCGTGAGTCAGTGGGACGTGCGGTGGTCACGCCGCTCCAAGTGCCAGAGGAGAGCCGCATTCGTGAAAATGCCCAAAGTCCACCATCACTGCGACACAGGGGAAGCGAGAGGGGGCTGCATTTTTGAATGGTTTATCTATTTCTCAAACTCCTTACCGCCCATAATGTGATCGGATGTTGGAAAGGATGCATGCAGTTCTTTGTCTGTTGTTCAGCAGTCTTGTGAGTGCTCGCATGCAGGGAAGCTGGAGCTGTATTAGTTTTGTACCATGCGCGTGCTCTAGTGGTCAGTATAGAATATTATTATTAGACTGATTTATAATATAATCCATCAGTTTCTAATAAAAACAAACATACAAAAAACACTAAATAAAAACAAACATACAAAAAACAATATGTAAACACTTTGTTCCAGGTCTGGATGCTGACTGGCTGCCTAAGCTCTTTTAGCTGTGTCTCAAGTGGCTAATTGCTTTTAAAAACGGTTATGTAATAATACTAATATTAGGAATACACACTTTCATTAAATCGTTTTTATTAAGTAAATTCATTAGCTGTTCTTCTTACAACAGACGATAATCCCCAACAACAAAGGAGCTACAAAATTAAAGATCCTATGGGTGCTACTTTGAGCAGGCGTTTTGTAATAGCTGTTAAGTTTTAGCACATTGAAAGTTGTACTGAATCAGGTGCCAGCATGTTATATATAACGATGAATCGCTTCCAAAATAAAAGTTTTTGTTTACATAATATGTGTGTGTATACTGTGTATATTTATTATGTATATATAAATACAAACACATGCATGTGTATTTAAAAAACAAAACATGTTATGTTTATATATTAATATAAAATATAAGAATATGAACATATAAATGTAGAAACATTTAAATATTTTCAAAATATATACTGTACCTGTGTGTGTATTTATATATACATAATATACATAATTCATGATACATAATTCATTAGAAAAAGAAAGAACACCCTGTTGAATTCCATGGTTTTCCATATCAGGACTTATTAAAAAATCATCTGGTCCTTGGCAGGGCTAAATAAATAGTGGCCCGGTGTGATATGCCATGTGTTTTTATTCATCTGAGGTTTAATTGTCCAAATTTGAAGACCTGGCAAGGAGCAGATGATTTTTTATTATGTCCTGATACGGAAAACCGTGGAATTCAATAGGATGTCCTTTCTTTTTTTACATTACTGTACATACACACACACAGGTTTGTTTTTGTGAAAAATGGGGACATTCCATAGGCGTAATGGTTTTTATACTGTACAAACTGTACGTGCTATTGCCCTACACCAACCCTACCCCTAAACCTAACCCTCACAGGAAACTTTGTGCTATTTCAGATTTTCATTACACTCCATTCTGTGTGATTTATATGCGTTTTGAAAAGTGGGGACATGGGGTAATGTCCTGAAAAGTCACCTTCTCCAATGGATGAAGACCTGCCAGAAAAGAAGGTAAAATATCCAAGTTACAGTTAGATTAAATGACTACAATCCCCTGTAGTCTACATGAAGGGTCAAATATGAAGTGAATGTATGATCTGATCTTTCTAACTAGTTATATATATATATATATATATATATAAGTTTCTCATGCTAACAAAAGCTTTATTTAATTAAAAGTATGTAAAATGGTAATATAGTGAAATAAACTACTTACAATACCTCTTTTTCTATTTAGTTCAGTTATTCATACATTCTCTGATGCACAAATTTGAAAACACCATTGTTGTTTCTTGGCGTCATAGAGTGTTTCAGCTCTTTCAACAGACACCCTCTTCCAGGCGACCCGACCACGGTTGATCAAGCCTCAGCCTGTCTCCAAGTGGCATTTTGCGGTCACCACACGTCACCCCTTTGCAGCCATAGCCATCTTGATGCCCACTGTGCAGCCTCCATGCTGTTGCTGAAATTACCTAAAAAAAAGCCCTTGGCAACCCACCTCCACTGGCATGCACCTGTTTTTTTCACCCATTCCAGAAGTATGCCTCCAGCACTCCCTGTTCCATCCTCTCCTCCCAAGGCACAGTTATCTCCAGTAGGCTAAGCTGTTTCGTAGACTCCAAGACCAGGATGATGTCCGGTCTAAGTGTGGTCCAGTCAGGTGCTGTAGAGCAAGCCAACAGATTTTCTTTTTTTCTTATGGGCTACTCTTCATCCTTGACAAATGCAATCATCCTGGCTGTAGTGTTGGTATTTCTGCTCTCGCTGATCCCCTTGTTGATTGCCTCAGCTATGGTCTTGAGCACTTGGTCATGGCCATCGACCAGGGCCCGGGATCAGCTTCTCAAGGGTGCATTTCCCAAAACCATCGCTAGCTAACTATAGTTGTTAGTTCCTCTGAACTCTATTGGTAATGACGGAACTTGCGACCATAGTTGCTTTTGGGAAACGCACCCCAGGATGTGTTCAAGAGGGCCTGTCTTGGAACACAGGGGGCTTGCTGAAGTGTATACCTTGCCCCATGCAAATAGGTTGGCTGGGCTAGGGAGGACATCGTACACCCCCTGAAACAAAATTTTAATCTTCTAAAGGTTCTATTTCCATATGTCTATCCAGGTGTCCTTCCTCTCCACTGGCTGCTCCCACTTCATCCAGGCACCCAGTTTCCTCATTGCTGCAAACCTGCTTGCTCGTTCTTCCTCCAATGATGTACACACCTCTTCCTGCACTAGCCTCGACCTTTCCTTCTCACTCGCAGTGCTGCATTGGTTTGGTGTTGGTTTACTTTCCATTTCTTCAACACTAAAGACCAGGATTATGGAAGTTTAAAACTTATACGCACCTAAGACATGAGCTTCTCTAACCCCTCTAGGATCCACCAGGCTCCAGGCACTGTTGTTGTCACTGTGAGGTCCTCCATGAAGGCTCTAATAGGGGACTGCCTCTGCACTCCATCTCTGCTAACTTGATCAACATGTTCATTGTCGGCATAAAGAGAATCATCGAAATGGTACACCCAGTCATGATTTCTACTTCAATTTTAATATATTTTAAAATGTAATTTATTCCTGTGATGGTAAAGCTGAATTTTCAGCAGCCATTATTCCAGTCTTCACATCCTTCAGAAATAATTCTGATATATATATGACATACAGTATATAAATATATATATATATATGTGTGTGTGTGTGTGTGTGTGTGTGTGTGTCCCTGGACCACAAAACCAGTCATAAGGGTCAATTTTTCGAAATTGAGATTTATACATCACCTGAAAGCTGAATAAATAAACTTTCCATTGATGTATGGTTTGTTAGGATAGGACAATATTTGGCCGAGATACAACTATTTGAAAATCTGGAATCTGAGGGTGCAAAAAAAATCATGAGAAAATCGCCTTTAAAGTTGCACAAATGAAGTTCTTAGCAATGCATATTACTAAGAGAGAGAGAGAGAGAGAGAGAGAAAGATGTATGTATGTATACAACAAATCAGCATATTAGAATGATAAAGTAAATTTAAAGTTAATACTTCACAAAAATGCTGTTTTACTATTTTTATCAAACTTTTGTGCACTGGTGAGCATGAGATGTCTTTCAAAAACATCATAAGCACATTGAAGCACAGCTGTGAGTGTGCATAGATAGATAGACAGACAGACCAAAAATTACACATTTTGAAAGATGAACATCTCATGTTATGTACAGCAAAGATACCTGCCATATATTGTTTCCATAAGTAATAAAATTAGAAAGGGTTGCAACAATACATTTTTTTCTGCTTTATTTTTCTTTTGTATTCAAAGTGAACCTTGACAATAAAACACCATGAATTCTTATTCACTCACCAAAAGTCACCTGGAAATTCTGTTTAATGTGACTAAGTAAAGAAGGCTTGGTCACATCTTTATTCACTGAGAACTAGAGAGGAAACATCAATTACACTCTGTAAAGACATTATATCCAAAGGGTTACATTTTCCCAGTCCTCATACTGTTAAATATTGCACAGTGCAAGTGCTATGTGACAAACTAAAGTAGCATCAAATCAAATCAAATCAAATAAGCAAATGAAACAAAACCCTAAACAAAAAAGCCATAAAAGTCTACAAATATCAAAACAGTGAAATTTAAATCTCTTAATTAACCAAGTAATTGAAACATGAAATCCATAACTTGCAGTGTGAAATAACTTCTTTGATAGATTGTAAAATATGCTATAAACCATGGAATTTGTATACACAGATTACAAAGCACATACCGGGAAGTCAATTTCAGGTTGAATGGTAAATAGTTAAGGTAAAATAATTCACAAAAAAAAAAAACGGATGTAATTTTGCCAATACATTACTTCCAAAATAATAATTATAAAAAATAAATGCATAAAAGCATTGAACGTCATTAAAACGGTGGCATTAATGTTTATTGAATGCTGTTAATAGAAAAAAAGTTCAACAGAAATCATCCATATCAACTTGAATTTGTTTAAATATGAACACAATAAATACTGAAAGTGTCGAGTACAGTCTTTTCTATATCGACACTGGATGTATTCAGGCTAAATGCTGGTGAATGCCATTTCACAGGGATCGAAACATGCACAGGGTGCAATATATTACATTCTTTACGCAAAGATTGAAATTACAATGTCAAAAATGTTAGAATTAGCTGGTTAAGATTAAATAGACATATATTAGTGATTATTAACTCAAATGAATACATATATGATTATTTATTTATTTAAAAGTGTATATAACCATTTCGATCCCTGGAATGGAAAGTTATACTGTTTGCTCTTTCTTATATTTGGTCTGGTCAGTGGGTGAGCTGAATACTTGTTTTTGCAAAGTGAATGTGTCATTACCAATATCTCAATCAAGGCACACACAGTGTTGCTTACTATATATATATATTTTTTTTTTTAACTATTTACATTACAAAATGTATGCTGTTTCCCCGTAATTGTTTCTCCCTTTAAATCTGAGGTAATAAAGTTACAAAATGGAAAGATATTTGAATGACACAACCATACTTTATGAGACTTGGAGAGATAGAAACCGTAAAAGCACATCTCAGAGGTTGAAGGGGAAAAAAAGAAATAAAGAGTCTGAGAGACACAATGTCCAGTCTCTCATTTAGACCGACTGCTGACTAGCATTGCTATCATCTTTATCTCAGGTGGCACCT